GGTGGAACGCTCGTGTTTCACTTTGTTCTACTATGTTCCTCTTTGTTCCACATAAAAGCTCTCCCTTATCTGTTTTGTATAGCGTACCAAACACACCCTCAAGTTTATACACCTAAATGGCCCATTTTTGAAGCATATCCCGCCCCTCTCTTCCTTTTGTTTTTCTTCAGGTTATTTTAGGAGAATAACATTCTGACAGATTTTTTTAAATGCATGACTTTCTAACAAATTTATAAACCTCAAAGCCTAATAGAAGAAAGTCTTCTCCTTCATGCATTTAAAAAGAATATGTCAAAAGGTTATTCTCCTAAATAACATGTTTTTCTTCTTGTGTGATCAAACTATTGCAATTTACAAAACATTGCAAGTTGTGTTCTCTAGCTACAAAGAAAGATCTCGAAATAGCCATTTACAAAGCAGGCGGAATTCATGAGAGCAACTTCGGGGATGCACATAAAATGGGTTGGGCCACAAGTAGCCTAATCCATGAAGAAGTAAGTTTTCCAAATGAAATTATACCACCTATTTATTTTCTTTCTGGCCTTCGTGTTTTTTGGTACCGACTTTTTTTGGTTTATTCCAGGTTCATTCTTTATCAACCATCGTATCCTTAAAAATGGAAATACCCGAAAATGCCTGGATTGATGACCCAAAAGGGGTAACACTTGCAGATATCGTCAATACACATCTTCCAAAAAATATTAGAGTTTTCAGCATTCTACCTTCACAAAAGTAAGAAATGTGCTCTTGCTTGTTCGTTATGATCATTTGACATGCCCTCGGGCGTGTAGCTCAATTGGCAAAGGGGCGGGGTGGGGCCTTTGCTCAAATACGCAACAGGTTCAAGTTCGAATCTTACAAAAGACGGGCTTGAACCCCTCCGCTAGCCTTAGCCGAGTCAGCTCTAATGCCTCTTCACATGTGGTTCCTAGGGGGCGGGTTCCTTGTGGGTTAGTCGGAGTTGTCGGTAATCAACCTTTTGCTCAAATGTGATCACCTGACTTGGTCCTTGTTCTCTATTCATCATTTCAGTCAGAACAAATAGGGGGAAAACTATTGCTATAGATAGAAATAGAGAACGGTCCGAGAATCCTGATCTTTAAATATTTTTTATAAATAGGCAAATTGCATCAAAATGCAACAAAGTTTGGTTTAATTCCTATTTAGCGTAATGAAGAATTTTTTTCTTCTCAATTGATGTAACAGAGTTTCAAATTTTCCTATTTTTGTACCCTTCTCACCAGTAACATGCTAATCTTGTAACATTTGATGGCATGAATATCTGTTTACCAAATATTTATGGCGAAGTAGCCGATAAACTTGACATCCATGTCATCTGATGTTACAAGATTAGCATGATACCAGTCAAAATGGGTAAAATTCAGGAGAATTTGAAACTTTTATTACATGTAATAGGAAAATTTGAAATTTGGTTACATTGTTTGAGGAAAAAAATTTCTTTGTTACATTAAATAGGAACTAAGGGAAACTTCGTTGCATTTTGCCCTTTTTTTCATAAACCAAACATGAAATAGAAATATCTTCTTTTGTGAACCTCATGCATTCCTCTGGAAGAGTTGAAAAGTATTGGAAGTTGAAAAAGCATATTCATCGTTTCTAATTTCATCTATAGTAGACTCTTAATGAAAAACTTAATGGAATAACCATCTAACTGAATGCTTCTGTTATCATACTAAGTAGCTGTTTACCAAACTCTTACCAAATAAGTGCTTACCGGCAAGAGTTACCACCCTCACTTACCTTATCACGTAACGCTCTTGGCCATCAAAATGGATTGTTGGTAAGCGTCTTTTACCCGGTAAGAATCTTGTCTCTCACTTACAAAGTAAGATTATCGGTCCTTGTTAGGCCTCTTACCGGGTAAAATTCTTGGTCCTTGCCATGCCCACCCACTAAGGCAAGCCACACCCGGTAACAGTTTGGTAAATGGCCCCTAAGTTTGTTTTCAGTTGAGTAGTTTCATCGAATCTGTTGCCTATATTGCACTTTCCGATCATTTTGGTTTTGCTTCGAAATCCCTCTTATAAATCTTGTTCTCCCCGTACGTCACCTAAATCTTTCTGGTTTGTTTTCAGGCGTTTTAATGTTGAAAAGGAATGTAACATGCGGAAATATTGTTACCTTCTTCCTTTAGAAGCCATTGGGATCACTAGCAACTTCAGCAAAGCTAAAGTTAGACATCATTTGTCAGAGTTCAATAATATACTTCGTCTTTTTGAGGTATTTTTACGTTTATTTGTTTGTTCAATTGATTATTTGGCATTATCCTTGTGGCTTAAGGTGTTCTTGGTACGCGGGAGGGTATAGGATAGGACATAACAAAAACTTGTTGCCCACGTTTGGTGCGACAATTAGACCGGGACGGCACAAGATTGAGCAGGACAAAAATGCATTTTTTCTGTCCCACCAAAATTGGTGGAACAAAAATCAGGGAGACGAGACAAACTTGGTAAATTACTAAACCACCCATGTCAAACCTTAAATCCTTCCACAATTCTTTCACCCGCCTACCTCACACTTGCCCGTCCAGTCACGTACTAAACAACCTTTACGCTGTGTTCTCGAAACCTCTGTTACGAAGGAAAGGAAGGAGGGAGGGAGGGAGGGGGGGGGGACAAAGAACCCGGTTCTTGAATTTTCTTTTTGGAGGGAAAGGATAGGAATCAGAAGGAAAATAGATGATAAATTTCCACCAAATGCGGGAAGAAAGGGAAGAAAGAAAAGATACCCCTTAAAAAGATCAGTAAAATTACAAAATTACCCATCAGTTACAATCCATCGATGAAACAAAAGGGTATATTTGTAAAAATGACATCTTTAATTTCCTTTTTCTCATGTTCAAGAACATGAAAAATTATTTTCTTTCTTTTCCTTTCAAGAAATCAAATACTTTTTTTTCCTTTCCTTCTCTTTTATTTCTCAAATTCGAGAACAGAAAGTTAATGTTTGTTTAGAAGGTTGAATAGCTTATCTGTGTGCATAGAGTTAATTAGAGAAAAAAACCTTGTTGTGAACCTTATTGAATTGCTTATCTGCCGAGCCCACCCATTTTTCCGAGAATGATTGTCCAAGCCCGCCTGGGCCAGGTGGGCCATATCGCCCATGAACAACTCTAATTGTGATATGAAGTATGGGAAAGCTATAATTTGATCAGTTTATTCAGCTTGACTCTAAAGTATGTTACTGCAGGGAACACATCCTTTCCATAACTATACCGTCAAACCCAAGCATAGGAAAAAGCATCGTGCAAATAGAAGAGGTAAATTGTTGAGTGAGTCACCCGAATCTATGTTTAATGGAGAATCAGAATCAGGATATGGTGAATTTGATGGAGAAGAACCTCTTCAGACAGATGAAACGGTCATAGAACATGTTGATGGAGAACACATATCATCAAGATATGCTGATTCTGATGAACTGGTTGAAGAATCTGTTGCAAATGGGAATGGTTTAAGTGATCCACCCGTCTTTGCTAAATGGCTACATCGACCTGATGAGAAAGACCGGGTATTCGATTTCCATTTCAGAAAAATTTTCCAGTGTGTATGTGGACAAACGAAACATTTGTCTGGAGCAAGTTATGTTACAGTCTACATTTGTGGGGAGTCGTTCATGCTGGATCAAGTAAGTCTGTCTAAACTTTTGTTTGAATCTAGCTCAAGGTTCTAAATGGCGTGAGCGTGGCTTGACGGTGAGGCTGAACCTCAAGCCTCAGGAGCCACGCCGAGGCCACGGCATTTTTTTTAGGCGTGACTTATGACGGCAAGTTTGTATATCATTTATACAATTATATTTACACACATGTTTCAACATATGTGTAAGACTCCTGTATCGTAGCATGTCATATCTTTATCATATGTCTCTCGTTTTGGTACACATGTCTTCACGAACACAACCGCTCTACTCTTTGGGATAGAGGTCAGGTTTGCATACATCCCACCCTTAGAATTTATGGCATTTTGTTTCGATGTTCAATTATTTTCGTCACTCAAAACTATTATTCAACTTAAAAAATAAACAAGAATTTATAAAGAATGTTTAATTCATACTGAGGGGTAAAACGGTCATTTATGTCATTCAAACTGTTGATTCATGAGAATGAAGAAACAACGATACATTTTTATCGAGACAGACAGCTTAACCCATACAGGACTTGGGGTCTGTTTGTTAGCAGCTTAATGAGCTTAATGGAATTCACAGCTTATTCAGTCAGCCAGCTTAACCCATACATGATTTTTTGGTGGTGGCTTAATGATATAGAAAATGGCTTGTTCAGTAAGCTTTTGGCGGGGAGCTTGATGCAGAAAGCAAAGTTTTTTTCAAACCTGTCCCACCCAATTAGATAAAACATGCTCCTTCCATTTATCAAAAAACCTTCATAAACAAAAACCTTCTCACTATACAACAAATTATCCAAACAAATAATTTTATCCATACAAGACTTTTGATGGAAAACTAAATAAAGAGCCCCTTCATGGAAAAAAAAGTAAGTCACCCCTTACCCTTCCTACCGGACCCACCTCAGGTGGGATATACTGGGTTCGTTTGGTTTGTATCATAGCATGTCACTTCACTTCTATGGCGATGTTGATTTCTTCCACTCACACATACACTTAAAATGTACTTGATCAGGTCCTCAAAATGGTCGGAGCAGCTGTGGCAGTGAAGCGAGGATTACTTCCGAGGGATGTAATTTATCCGCTATCTTTTTCCAAACTCACGCGTTTTGTCCTACCGACTGCTCCGCCGGAGTTATTATTTCTACAGTGGAACCGATATGCCTTGGAAAGCCAACCTAACCATACTACTCGGCCTGAGATTCTAACCATGGTTGAATCTGAAGATATATTATCTAATGTCGAAAATTTCTACAAATCAATCATGTTGCCTCAGTTTTTAGAATTCTTGGATCCTTTGAAATCTCCATGGAAGGAGTGGGTTGAGGTATTAGATGCAAGCACTAGGATTCCGGATTCTCAGTTGGATGAAGTGAGGAATGCTTGGATTGAATGGAAGAAAAAGGATACAGATAAGGCTGCATCATATTGATCTTGCTAAGGTATGTCACAAAACTCAAATCTTCGTGTTGTTTTTATTTTTGGTTTCTATCTCTAGTTGGATGTCTTCACGGAAACAATGCCTCTATTTTTTTGGGGTAGAGGTCATGTCTATGTACATCACACTCCCAGACCCTACTCTCGAGTGGGATTTACTGTGGGGGCGGACCCACAACGGTGCATAAGGTGACACGGGCCACCGATTCGTTCATCTGTCATAGTGTAAAAAATGTTAGTGTCGTGAAAGATGCCATTGTATTATTTTGTTTGGTGCAAACATAGAGTTGGTTTGCACATTGCACTTGAAACAATTTCTAGGTCCGCCTCTAATTTACGGGGAAAGTTTGGTTTGAATTTTTTTGCTCTAGTTGGATAATCATACCGAATTGTATTGCAACATCCAACCAAATGTCAACATATAGTTCTTCTTGTAGGTAGCTATATGAATCTTCCTGTTGCTTTGTTATTGGTTCTTGGCTCTTGTTGGATGTTTTCGCGGAAACAACTGTTCTACTCTTTGGGGTAGAGGTCACGTCTGCATGCATCTCACCTCCCAAGACCCCACTCTCGAGCAGGATTTACCGGGCCTCTTAGTTTGGTTTGGTTTTTGGCTATACTCTTTATAAACACTTGGGTTGTCACGCACGGGTTAAGGCTCAGGGGATATAGTGGAAATCTTATCTTCTCCATGTTGAAATTCAGGCGTTGCCAAAGCCCTTGTGGCCATGGAGGGCCACCTGTGATGACTCCATTCATTCGTGGTCGCCCGAGGATCAGTCTCTGCATGTAAGCTGGACCGGATACCCACAATTACCAAAAGAGGCTACTCTTTATAACTCAAGTTCACAAATTGGGTCTTGAGAACAACCTCTTTCCAAAGTCGAAGTAAAGGAAATGTACAATAACTTTATGGTAAATTGGCTATCCGTAAGTTCAATGGACCGAACAAGCCTACCCAGGATTATGAATTCTTAAAGCGCCTGATAGAAAGTACCATTTGCGGTTGCCAAATGTGTGCTTGTGCAACATTTAAGTTCTAACTCGCAATGCCCACTACAAGAAAATCAGCTTTTATAAGACGTCAAATATATCTAAATGTCCTAAGAGGTCGCTTTACAACTTATATCGCTTTACAACTTATATTTATAGTTTTAAACAATTGAATGTCCTATATAAAGGTGTTACAATGTCCTATAAAGCCAATTTTGTTGTTGTGGCCACTTCAAATTTCACTGCTCTTCATTCTTTTTGATTGTCTACCGAATCAGAGCAGCAATGTTCTACTTCTGTTTATATGATAGCACACGATGGTTATCGACATTCTATATTTTTACCATCAAGCATAGTTTGATGGCTGAATTTAGGCATTGTTTGGCAAACATAAGCTAGCTTATTTTTTGAGTTGTCGTTTGGATGGACATAAGCTAGCTTATTGAAATGTCAGTTGAAGTAGTGTTTTAGGAGCTTTTTGGCACTTATCAGCTTATCTAAACGCTAGTTGGAGTAGCTTAGTAACTTACTAGCTGACTTATTTTCTTCGAGAAATCAACTCTATATAAGGATACTTATGATGGCTTTTTCACTTTCTTTTCAGACATGTTCAGCTCGAGAAGAAGATCGTGCCTAATGATTCTCAGTGTAGTCGTAGGATATCAGTCTTGCCCGAATGCTATTGATGAACAACAGCCCGGTTTTTAGTACGTGGATAGAACTGGACTGGATGGAACTCGCGGAGTTAGGCAGGTGGAAACTGGGCATTGTTAAGAATGTGGTTCGGAGGAGGAGAAAGTCTCAGGTTCAAGTCTTTGCCGACTTAATTAATTATTTTTTTGTGCTTTATATTGTAACTGTAATTAATTTTTATTTAAATTTAAATTAAGATAATGATTTTGTGTCGTCACTATAATTTTTTTTGATCCGTCTCTGGCTTCTTGTGCATCTCTATGTATAATATTAATATAAACGGTTCCGCTAAGGGACAATCTAACACTCCAAACCACATACTTTGGTTCGATAATTTTCCAAATTGTTTAGCCACGTACGAGAGGATCAACCTAACTGGTTTGCTTCCGTTTGACCGGTTCAACTGATTACGTTGTTTCCTTGACGGAACCCGGTGCATGCAAGTTTTTCGCGTTGTCACATTTGTATACTTGCATCGTTTGAATTTTTTTGGGCAAAAGGGCGGGTGTCCAACCAAAAGAAAAATGATCGTCTATAACAGTAGTTTTATTTCAACTTTCATTCAATATGGTATTAGAAGTAGTTCAACTGATAAAACTTTACGTTTGCTTTTTAACATTATTACAAACAAACCCTGTAAAATTTCATAGAATACCCCATTTGGTCCGTTCTTGATTATTATTTTTATAGGCTTTAGACAAGATGTAAAACAAGACTCTCGATAAATATGAAAAGAAACTTCAGTATGTTGTTTTTATCATTAGAAATAACATTTAACTCAAGAAATACTAATAACTCGTATAAAACCGTTTTTCCAATATTCCTACCACTACATACTAATTAAAATTTGGGCCCTAATTTCTTGAGACCTCCTGTGTATGCTCGATCCACCCTAACTAGGGACGATCCTAACCATCAGTTGATTTCTAAATCCAATGTTTGTGGAACTCCATTGAAATTCCTAAATTTTAATATGGAATTTAAAAAAACACACGAGTTTGAAATGGGGTCCCATTCCAATATCCAAATCCTGCAAATCAAACGAGCGCTTAATTGTTAGAAACTAGAAAGTGAAGATTTTGGGTAGAATGGTAGTTAGGTTACAATTGCCAATCCGTACGGACCAAATATGTCATTTTATAAAATGAAGGGGCCACAAGTGTACACACACATAAGTGGATCGGGTCGGGTCATTACAATAGCAACAGTCCAGATACCTGTTCAGCCACTCTCAAACCTCAATCATCTCCAATGGCGACCTCTTCCCTCCGATTTGCATTCTCCCCTCTTATTCATGGCCGTAGCTCCTCTAAAATTTTATTCTCAGTCCCTAATCATAAAACCACATCCATCAAAATCCTCTGTTTCTCCTCCTCCTCCTCCTCTGCATCTTCTCCTTTAACCACCACTCTCGATACCCTAGCTCCTCCACCATCGAATCATTCCGTCGACAGAAACACTTCTTCTAATAAATGGGAGCCTTTCCGGAAGAAGAAGGTCGTCATGCGTATCGGCTACGTCGGCACCGATTACAGAGGTTAGCTTCCTTTCATTCCGGTGGTCTCGATTTCGATTTTCTGATTACCGTTTCTTAAAATTGGTCGTTTTTTCAATCATGTGTGTTCGTGATAGCGTGCATCTCTGTTTCGTAACTCAAATCTGCTACGGATTTTGATTGCAGGATTGCAGATGCAGAAAGATGACTCCATATCCAGTAAATTCTCTTCCTGCTTGCTTTTCTTCTGTCTTGATAAATTTACACTTTTTCACCCCAGTCTTTGACTACGTTGCTATCAAATGCCTGATACTTTGTTCATATTAGAACGAGTAAATTACGTTTCTAGTTTTTATGATTTGTTAAAAATTAGGACTTTTGTTTCGCTGGTTTTCTAAATTGTGGTTTTCATCCTCATGGTTTGTAATTCATTACTATTTTCATCCTTATTTATATGAGGGATGAAAATAGCAATCAATTGTAAACCACAAGGACAAAAACGATAATAAATTATAAATCATAAGGATAAAAATAACAATCTGTCGTAAATTATAGGGATGAAAATTGTAAATTTCAAAGTACAGGGATGCAAATTGTAATTTTCAAAGTATAGGGATGAAAATAGCAATTATCTTCAAACCACAAGGACGAAAAAACATAATCTAGGGCATGTTGGTTAGCGGCTTAATGAGTTTAACAAGACTTGCAACTTATTTGGTTAACTATATATGACTATTTGGTAGTGGCTTAATAGGACTCACAACTTTTAGTGGGTAGATTTATGCAAAAAGACAAGTTTTTTTTTTTCTAAATCTGTCCATTCTTATTAAAAAGCATGCTCCTTCCATATATGAGAAGTTCTCCTAAATATAAATTTTTTAATTTATAAAAACAGATTAATTTATACAAACAAATTAATTCATATAGAAAACTTTATCAATTATCTACACAAAACTTAATAAAAAACTGACCAAACAATCCCACTTTATTACAAATATGCCTAGAAGAATAAACAATAATTAAATGAATATTATTGTTAAAAATATTTAAGTCATCTTACTTATTAATGAAAAGGTTTTCATTTAATTATTGTTTCTTCATCTTCTAGACATTTTAAATACTTTTTAAATGTCATTTGTATTTAGGGGAAAAACAAATTAAAAACAATATTATATTATATTTTTAATAATTAAAATTGAAAAGATTAAGATACATCTGTTCATTTGATTTCTTGGGTTAATTTCAAATTAATAATCTTTAATAGTTTATCTATATTATATTATAAATCATTTAACAAAAAGATTCTTAAAATCAATTTTTTATGCATGAGTTATTGTTTATTGATGTATATTACTTAAAATTTAAGGTTACAAGTAATTTTGCATAAGTATAACTTATTAAAGTTTCATTTTGAAATTCGTGTAATTAACTGATAATAAACATAATCAAATACAGAATAAATATCTATTTTAAACATAGAAAATCAAAATATAATTAAGATAATCATTGAGTTTTAACAGAATGTTTAATTATTATCTTGATAAAAAAATAAACTAAAAATAAATTAATTTATTATTAAATTATAATAAAAAATTGAATTAAAAAAGTTTCAAAAAAAACGAGAACTATTAAATAGTTAATTTGATATTATTATCGATTTCTTTTTCAAATTTATATTTTATTAAAAAATAAAATCATTATCGCTTTCTTAAAACCACGTAAAATTGTATTATATCGATAGAGACAAAGAATAAAAACTAAACATTAAACTCGAAATTTATCTAGCTACATTGAGCGCGTACCCTCCTAATTTGATTAAATTCACACAAAAGCAAATATTTTTATTCAAATTTATAGTTATCTTTGTCTGTTTTGTACAATCTGTGACATTTAAAAAATGTTTTGGGTAGCTCCGGATTTTAGACTTTCATGTCCAGAGAAAGAAACAGTGATTAGAAGCATAATTTTGGTGGTTATATGGAAAATCCTTGCAAATTCTAACAATATATATGTGTCTGTGTGTATATATGTGTGTATATATACTTTCCCAAAGACCGATGTATGCAAATAAAGGGCAAGAGCCACTGAGAAATCTGATCTGGGTTCGTGAGTTACTCAAGGAGGAAGATGATGTTACATCCCGCAACCGAGTTCCTTCCGCCGGCCTCATCACCAACGATTTCTTCACTTTCATCTTCTGATTTCGATACCGAGTCAACTGGCTCGTTTTTCCATGACCGTAGCACCAGCTTGGGAACTCTGATGGGTGTGACCACCTTTACATTCAGGACCCCTTCGCAGCGTCGAGACGGGACTCCCACTATAACGCGTCGATCGACTCCTAATAATAGAAATTTTGTACCACGGAGGAGGAAGAAAGATCAGACGACGGATTTGGTGGCGGAACGGCGGAGGAAGAGGGTTAGAAGGAGGAATTGGTGGTGGTTGTGCAGTGGTGAGGCTTCAAAGCCTTCTTCTCTTGGGGAGTTTCTGGAGGTTGAGCGGAGGTTTGGAGTGGAGGCACTGTTTGATGGTGATGCTTTGATGGATGTGAACTTGGGTGATCATCATAGGAATAACGGGAGGATGTTATTTGCTGATGGGAGGGTCTTACCACCACCCCATTCCCCTGATGATGATGATGAAGGGACTCCTGTTTGTTCTCTTTGTAGGTTTCATGTTTTGCTGGCGGCAATCTGCGGCGGCGGCGGTGGTGTAAGATAGGCAATTTAACTAAAATCTTTAGCTGTTTTGTTGGTTAAAGGTGGGATCTTGGGATACCATTTTCATAAACTGTATGTAAAAGCCTGTGATTTTGTTGCCATCTAATTTGATCAATACAATGACTGATTCAATACCACCTTGACCAAGAACGCAAGTTTGAAATTGGGAAGTATGAATTATTACTACCAAGCATCTACTAGATCTTAGGTTTCTGGAAAGTACGAATCTTTAGTTCATATTGTTGATACCTATCAAAATTTGATGAATTGTCTGCTTAGAGAAGTAGATTCTAGTGTCTAAAGTTGAGAATATGTGATAAACTTAGGGGTTGTTTACTACCTGCTTATGAGGTAAGAGGAGCTTAAACGGTTGGGGATGATGCTGTTTACCAAGCCCATCTTACCGGTTCATGATGCTTATCTCATAAGCAAGGGGAGAGACTGTTACTTGGTCAGTGATTAGTGTTGATCCGGATCTCACTCTTAGTCATTAGTGTCAACCAAGATCACACTCCTTCCAGGTTAGCGCTTACCCGGATAGAGATGATGCCATTTACCAAGGCCCTCTTACCATTTCATGATGCTGACCTCGTAAGCAAGGGGAGGGACTCTTACTTGGTCAGTGATTAGTGTTGACCCAGATCGCACTCTTTCCTGGTCAGCGCTTACCCACTTTGTATTGGTAAATGACCCATTGTTCAGTTACTCTTAAGCTAGGTTTGACGTTAGTACATACAAGTAACTTTTGCTGACAAGATTGTATATTTTTTATTGCCGTAGCTAAGCACATATGTGTTTTTGCTAAAGCATTACCAAATCAAACCTAAGGAACCAAGGTAAAATTAATGCAAACATTACTTCTACCCTGAGGAGTATGGAGTATGTGTCCGAGAAATCCTTTTGCTAAAGCATTATTTCCAGATAAACCAGTTTCAGTAAGACCCGCAGAAACACGTATGGGTTCTTTAAGAACCCGAAGGCAAACTAATCCGTCTTGGTGCAGCTCCTAGTCCTGATCGAWTGGCTACCGGGTGTTCACTCAAACTAAAAAGAAAAGGAAAAAAACTATTTCCTGAGACGGAAATAAAGAGAGGACACTATTCCTAAGAATTTCCCCTTATTTTTTCTGACTTCCTTTATAATCATTTGTTTTATTAGCTATAGAGAAAGAGCTGGAAACCGCCATTTACAAAGCAGGTGGAATTCGTGATAGTAACTTTGGGGATTTGCAAAAGATAGCATGGGCTAGAAGTAGTCGAACTGATAAAGGAGTAAGTTTAAGTTAAGTCATACCACTTATTTATTTTGTTTTTCTTGTCTTGTTTTGCACTAACTAATTCTTCTGTCATTCCAGGTTCATTCTTTATCGACAATGATATCACTTAAAATGGAAATCCCTGAATTCGCCTGGACTTGTGACCCCAATGGAATAGTACTTGCAAATCTTGTTAATGCACATCTTCCTAAAAATATCAGAGTTTTTAGCATTCTACCTTCACAGAGGTGAGATTTATGTCATCCTACATGTTCATCATCCTCTCATCGCTAAACATGGGACTCCTCTATAGATCTTGAAATAGAAGCAACGGTTGGACAATATTCATCTATTAAATATGCTCAAAATTAAAAAAGAAATGAATGTATTTTAAGAGTTGCCAGCATTCAACTAGAGAGAGATATCTGAACTTTAAAAATCTTATTCACTGTTTCTAGGGCAAATTGCATGAAAATGCAACATACTTTGGTCTGATTCCTATTTTGTGTAACGTACTTCCAGAATCTTCATTTTGGTACCTTGAATGTGACATATCAAACGTTTAGGTACCTAGTTTACACATGAGAATGCATGAAAATGCAATGTACTTTGGTCCAAAATTCCTATTTTCAGTAACGTACTTTGGTCTAAATGTAGGAGATATCACATATGAGTTACCAAAATGAAGGTTTTAAAAAGAATTCCGATCAGAACGAATATATTCCATTTTCATGCACCTTGCCCTTGTTTCTAATCATATATTGCAGTCTCTTAGACCAACGTTTTCATAGAATAACTAACTGAATGCTTCTCTCACCAGACAAAGGGGCAGTTTGGTTGGTTTTCCATCAAGTCCTGTATGAATAAAGTTGTTTGTGTGGATTAATCTGTGTATATAGATTGGGAAGGTTTTTGTTTGGAAGGGTTTTTTCATAGATGAGAGGAGCGTATTTTTTAACTCAGAGGTAAGTTCGGAAAAAAACTTGGCTTTCTGCTTAAAGCTTACTAAATAAGCCACTTTCTATATCATTACGCCACTACCAAACAATCATGTATAGCAGACCGAATAAGCTGTGAGTCACGTCAAGCTTCTAACAAACGGGCCCTAAGTGCCTTTTCAGCAAAGTAGTTCTTGTCCAGATGTGGGCTATATATTCTGCTATCTCTGACCATTTGTTTTTTGTTCCACGGTCCATCTCATGAGTCTCATCCCTCCCCAATCTCACCTGATTAATCTTTTCGGTCTCAGGAGTTTTGATGCTAGAAGGGAATGTAATATCCGGAAATATTCTTACCTCCTTCCTGTTGAAGTCATTGGGATTACCAGTAACTTCAGTGCATCTGAAATTGAACATCACTTATCAGACTTCAATGATATACTTAATTCTTTTGAGGTATGCTTTTAATTTTTCTTTAACTGTTGTTATTGTACTGTTTATTTGCTATGCAATTAGTAAATTCAAACTATCCTTGTGGGGTTATGTGAAGTGTCAAACTTGAGCGTGTGTTTGGTACAAAGGATATGACAAAACAAAAACTTGTCCCATGTTCGACGCGGCATTAGAATGAGACAGGACAGGACAGAGTGGGACAAAAATTCATTTTTGCAGGGGAGGACCTACTAAGGGCCGAGCTGGCTCACGTGCCCCCAGTCACTCAATTATTCTAAGAGAAAAATTGTAGGCATTTGAAAGGTGCAACCGATTAATTTTGAAGGGTGCTCTCAAATATTTTGAAACCAAATTTATAACGGATATCAAATATGGTGAGATGGTTTAGATAGATTAAATCATGAGATACAATAGGTTGCAGATTCAATTCTTACATTTAACAAATATTTAATTTTTCATCTTTTAAATTTCTAAAAATATTAATAGTAAATATATCAAGTACATTTATAGACATAACTACTACTAGACCATGACAACTTTTGTTTATTTTCTCCCATTTTGCTTTTATTACTTTTCTTAATGATTTATTTTCCTTTTCATTGCAAATTCATCTTAAAAGTCGCTGTATTTATCTTGTTTTCAAGGCAACATATATTTATTTTAAAGGTCAGGTCACATAGACTTCCCCCAGGTGATCAAAACCACTACTTTATGGACCCTTGATCCACCTTAAAGGTGCACCCGCTCAAGAAAAAATCTGGGACGACTGCTGTTTGTTAATCAGGGAGATGGGACAAGGATGGTAAATTACTAAGCTATCCATGTCAAATTAAAACCTTCCATCCTTCCACAATTCTTTCACCCGCCTACCTCAATCCTGCATGTCCCGTGGCTCCCCTCCAGTCCATTCCATACACCAAATGCACCCTGAGAGAACACAGTTGGTAATAGTCTATGATTGACTGCGGGCGGTACATTAAAAAGTCTGGGGACAAGTCAAGATAGACAAGACGGCATTGATTGAACAAGGCATCAGGAGTCCCAATGGGACGGGGAAGCTGGCAGCTTCCTGGTTAACACTTGTATAAGATTACTGGATTTATCAGTCATCTTGCTTGGAACCGTCGTTGTGTATGGGAAAGAGGGCACACCAAGAAATCCAGAGCAACAACAAGAACTCAGTAAACGCGAGGAATGGGACCTCCTCTGTTAGTTTTCCTTGACAGCTTCACTAGGAAATTTCTGAAAAAATTCTTTCCTGGACTTGTAATCATGTGAGACCAGTCTGTTTTTTGTGAAACCCATGAGACCAAAAAATAACACACAACCTTCACTTTGCCTTGAAGGTTCGGTGTTTTTAGTACCTTCACAGTGTTCTGGTGTGAAGGCATAGTGTTTGCCTTTTAATGTTTGCATACAAGGTTGAATGGCTTATTTGATCCTTAAAGAGTTGATTAGAGGATAAACCTTGTGGTGATGAATTGATGACAAGTATAGTGGTCTTTCATGCCTAAGCGAGAGCTACAGTTTGACCAGTTTGACTTATTTAATGAACTATTACAGGGACAACATCCTTTCCATAACTATACAATCCGATCCAAGTATAGGAAGAAGTATTCAGCAAAACGATCTCCTGAAAGTGGGCGTATTGCCAATAGAAGAGCGAAATTGTCAACTGAGCCACCCGATGCCATGGCTGATGACAGTGATGGGGAAGAATCATTGGGATATGGTGATGGAGAAGAAGCTCTTGGGACAGGTGAAATGTTCGATGACGAACAAATGTCATTAAGACACATTGATTCTGATACGGAACTGGTTGATGAATCTGATGCAAATGGGAATAGTTTGAAGGATCTACCAATCCTTGCTAAATGGCTACACGAACCTGATGAGAAAGACAGGTTAAGCGGTTCCCATTTTCGAAGAATCTTCCAATGTTCGTGTGGAAAGATGGAGCAGTTGTTTGGAGCGCGCTATGTTGAGATCTCCATTTGTGGAGAGTCATTCATGCTGCATCAAGTCAGTAACCTCTGTTCATATATGTATGAGTTTGCTCGATATTTTCAGTGTTTTCAGAATATACATGCATGTTGTGTTTACAGTTTCTAGAGCATGCTAAACTTTTTCAGTACAAGTTTTATGTTTTGAGTCTTTCGCTGCGATGTTTGTACATGTATGATGTTACCCGGTATTGTGAGTTTGGCTTGTAAGCCGTCACAGTCCCAAAGTGGGTGTGACAACATTCTCCGTTATATGGGGTCGTGATAATGGAAATTGGACCCATGACGGAAATGAGCCACATAACTGACCCTGACACAAGGTTGCTATAAATACGCAACCGCAATGGCGAAAAGTAACCTTATGGTGTTCACGGAGAAGTAAAAAAAAAAAAACGATGTCTTTTTGAGGGTTTCACACAGAGAATCATATGTTTAGTTGCACACTTGCAGCTTTGTGTTTATACTAGTCACATTGTCCATGTATGTTTGTTTTGTTTGAAGTGATTAACATGACTTATTAGTACAAATGGAAAATTTACCCGTGGGGACGGATACCTGACCCCAATGGGGCAGGGATTGCCCGCTTTGACTGGTAATTCCCG